AGGCCTGCTCTTTAATCAATTATATTGATGACATCTTTCAGATGTCACTTCCTACTAAAACACGATGGGCAAACACTTACATGTTGGGAATTTCCTGGCGGTCCAGTGGTTAGGACTCAGCTCTTTCACTGCCGGGGCCCGGGTTCAATCCCTGGTCGGGGAACTAAGACCCTGAAAGCCTCGCTGTGTGGTCAAAAAGAAAAACAAACAAACAAACAAAAACCCAAAACAAACAAACAAAAAACAGGTACATGTTTACATCTGGGTAAAAATCTCTACTGTTCTGATTAACTTTTCTGGTGGGTCAGAAATTAAAGACAGGACTCCAAGGCCCTGATCTTCAAATATCCTGCAACCAGGCCTGCTTGCTTCCCAAAACACAGTGATCAGTGAAAAACAGGGAGTCAGCACCAAAGTCAGAGGTCTCACCCCATCACTGGGGGCGGTTAACCACAGTCCTCCCGCTTCACAGCAAAGTCTCGCTGAAGCAGGAGAAAAGGTGAGGAAAGTTAAGACAAGGCAGCTTCTGAACTAAGACAGAATTCATAAAGGCAGGAATTCGTGAAGCAAAGCAAACTACTTTCACAGGTACTATTTCTGTGAGTAACAGCAGTACGTTCCGACCAGGGGGCTCAGCAAAGGTGTATAATTTGGGATCGGGCCACCATCCTCTGCGACCTCTGTACAGTGTAGTCAATTTATGTGATGTATTACAGCCTTGCTTTCTAGACAGGGGGCGACAACCGTGGAGGGACACTCAAATGCTGAGTGTGAAAAATGGAAAAATCACGTGGCTGGGGAGACCATGAAAGCAAACACAAGCTGCAGGCTTTTCTCTTCTTCTGTTTAGAAGGAATTTTGATCAAAGTTTAAAACAGCCCACACCAAATGTGTGCTTTATGTTTTATATGTAGGACCAGCTGGGACCCACTGTCAGAGTCCAGAGTGGGAGCGGGGGGAGGGGTGTGCAGATGGGGGATGGAAGTGGGGATGAACTCAGATTCCTAAGTGATCTCTCAAGCTAGCAGATTTCAACATCCTATACAAACTGATGTGGTCATGGGATCTCACTAGTCTAAATATTCTGGATTAGTGTGACTTTAATCAAAGGATCTCAAAATACTGTCTCAAGAAATAGCCCCACTGGACAGCTTACTTATGAAAGGAATACAGTTTGATTCTCTTATCCCTAAATCCCCACTTCCATCAACTCATTTCCTTGTGTCAGGGGAAATATGGAAGCACCGCTGAACGCAGAAAGAGCAGGAAGATGGCCTTTCAAGAGCTCCCCTAAGGAGCCTCCCCTAAGGAGCATGTACCACCCATTGTGCACCCCCATCACACAGTTCACCTGCACCAGACGGGGAAGAGGTTCTCTCCAAAGGAGGTAAAACGAGGCTTTACTGGGTTGTGGGAAAATGAAATGTGATGCTCATATCTGTGATTTTAGCTTCCATGCAAAGAGGAGATAAAAGAGGGGGAGGGACAGCATAAAATCTGTGCCTGAGGACACTTGCTGATCTTGACATGTGTTCTATTAACTTTGCTTAAGTGGCTGACAGAGTACACTCTCAGCTCAACATGCTTTCCCACCCGCAGAGCTACCCGTCCTAGGAAATGGGGTAAAAAATAACAGCTTTGGAGACACAGCATGCAATGGTCAAGGCCAGGTCAAGATTCCTCAGATGTGAATGATGTGACTAACAATAAACCGTGATGTTTAAAAACAGAATGGGCTATTACAGCCGTGCGCCTGCACGAGACATACCAAGCACGTGGCTCACTTCCAGAGTCACGTGGGATGTGAAACAGCTGGATGATGCGTTTCCACAGCAAGCATCTGTCCACTTGCTAGGCACCTATGATGCTGTTCTAGGTAACTGGGATAATGGAGAGACATCCAAGACCCCTGCCCTCACAGGGCTTAACAATCTACCAGAGCGAACAGATAATAAACGAACAATGTGGTAAGTAAATTCTAGAGTAGGTTAGATGATAAATGCTTTGCAAAAGCAGAAGGGCAGATTGTATGTGAAACAAGATGAGCAGAGCCAGCCTCCTTGAGAAGAAAGCTTTAAGCAAAGAGTGGAGAGTGGGTCAGCTAAGAGGACGGCTGAGGAAGAGCTGTCCAAGCAGAGGCCCAAGGTGGGAGAAGAACCGGAAAGGGCATCAGAGGGCACGCCGTCTCTCTCGGGTCCGACTTCATCTCTCATCCCTGCTTTCTAGCACAAGATAGGGGCTCAGTTCATATTTACTGAATGATTTAAACTCCAAGAAATACAAGATTATCCAATATACAAATTCAATCCAAACTAGGCCAGGGCTTCATAAGAAAACTGTATGCAAGCCGGATGGGTGGAAGGTACGTTCTCCTGAGAGGAGCTGGGGATCAGATCTTCAAACGGGTTTTTGACTCTCTTTTCCCCAAAATGTGAGACATCACAGCCTTCTTTCCAGGAACATGCAAGAAAAGCAAAAAGTGGGTTCTGTCATCGGGGGAACTCCTCACACAGATGCTACTTGTGGGCAGAGTTTAAAGACAACGTTCTTTTAAATACAAAGAGGGAAGCTGGTGAGAGGGGCATAAAGGTAGGTTTATCCCACGCTCATCTCGGGGGCGTGCCCACTGTCCCCATAACACTCCCTCCGCAAAAGAGACCTGCATGTCACCGGGGTAACCTTCTCAATAAAATACAGTCAAACATGAAAAACAGGCTAAGTAAGGTGAGGGAGTAAAAAGGAAAAAAAGGTGAAAGAATTCAATTACAGTAAGAGAAAAGTACTATCATTTCTCACCTTCATATAATTTGTCCCTGCAAACACTTTTCAAATAAACACACCCTCAGGCAAAAGAAATTAAAGCCCCACAGGTTCCAACAAATAAGTCTGTCCTTACAACTACTTTCCATATCAATTTGACATGCAACTAGCAGGAGCTGTGGAATCCTCATTTCATAGGAATCAAATTTAAATGAGAATGCAAGAGTAACATTTCTAGAAAATCTAATATTTAGTACCTCAACTCCCCACCCAACACCCCCATACTGTCTTTTCAACCTTTCAATTGCTCCTAATTTCTCATTTATATTCAGGCCTGCTCTAATACTTTAATGCACATTACCGTGGGTCTCTTTCTTAAACTCTGCTAAAATATTTCATTTTACTCTTTCTATGTATTAAAAAAAAAAAAAGAAAAAGCTGTTAAAAATCTCAGTTGTTACCACATTACGTGAGAAAGAAAGCGTTATAAAATAGTTTAGATCCTACAAAGAGAAAATCATTTTTAAGGAAAGACCTGCTTTTCCGTATACTATATCCAAATGAAAATATCAAATGCAATTTTTGTTTAGAAGCTATTTTTACAAAATCTTTTTGTCCCTAATCTTGACAAGGTACCCCTTTTAAATAATCTTTTCTGACCTGACTCAGATATTTTTATAAGTCTGTAATCTTTTGTATGCCAGGAGAAATTATATCATTCTTCCTTTTGAATTAGACTACATATTAGGAAGTGTATCTAACTTAAAAAATCAAAAGTCAAATTAAAAATATGTAGTTTGGTAGGAAAAAACAATTATGTATATACCTCCCCTCAGCTAAGTGAAACTATGCAAGAAACACAATGGTTGACAAAATTATATACAATTATATATATATATATATATATATACACACATATATATATAAAATGACAAAATCGTATATATATTACATATATACAAAAAACTTTCAGAGTCAAGTTTTTTTGATTCATCTAGAAAAAAACCTAACTTTTGCTTTTGAACTGTCAAGTAAAACATATCATTTGAATATTATTTCTAAAGTACAGTATAATGTTTATGAAACAAGTATCCCTTTTGGGTTGGGATGGGAAGAGAAAAGCTCTTCCCTTCAAGTATCCTTAGTGAGTTCTTCGACATTTATAAAATATTCCCAATTCCATTTACCCTTGCATTCTGCTTCTTCACTCCCGGTACCTCATTCATTTGCGCTAAAATAAGCCAACATTAAAGAAGACACAATAGGAACAGGATCTCTTCCAGAAATACACTGTGATGCCCACAGTCAGTTTTACTTGACACATAACCACCGCAGTTGAGTCCACCCATTTGAAACACATCTTTCCACGCCTTTCTCATTCTCTGGGAAAAAGATTATACAGGGGGAACAATGCTTGAGATTTACCAGTGAAGAAATGAATGATCTGACAAGGCTGTTAACAGCAAAGCGGAGTAAAAGGCTTGTCTCTGTGTGAAACTGAACAGAAGAAATACCTTAAGGAACAGCTGTGCTCAGAGCTGAAGTGGGGACCATCTCCAATGAACAATGAGTGGGCTTTGGATCAAGGTGTTTTCCACTTGAGAAAAATATTCAGTGATTTTTTTTTTTTTTCTCATGAAGGCCAAGCACACTATTGGCATTAATGCTACAGATGACACTACCCAGGCAGGAAGAGGACTCTCTGTGCGCCTACACTAACTACAGGATAGAGTTTCAGCTTCAGCCAGTATTCCTGGAGAGGAAACCAAGAGGTAGACACCAGGTTACAAAAGCAATGGTTTCTTCTCTGTTGAGTTCTGTGGTCATTTTATTACTCTCTCCATTTTCCATGCAGATCAAATTAATGTTAAATATACTTACATTAGACTTACCCTCTACTTTCCCAAAATGATTATTTAGGTATATAATACCAGTTACAAGAATAAGAATGCAAAAGGTGTTTAATTCCACGGCAACTCTAATAATAGTGTTTTGAGACGCTAACTGAAAAGGTTCTCAGATATCACCACCCTAGTTTTATAACAACTCTCCACCCCACAAACACAAATTTCTAGCCATGTAATGATTGACCAAACTTTTATGCACCATACACAAATTCAGGTAAAGTTGCCAGAACAACTTTTGCCCAGACCGTTTCAGCCCAGCTCAACCAACGTGAGACTTTTCCTTTAAAAAAAAAAAAAAAAGCAGTCATGAAGCGATCACTCATCAATACTGACCTTGCTGCTCACTGTCTGCTTCAGTTTTTGAAGAACCTGGTGCAACAGGAAGGGGTCGAGGTGGCCGGGGCTTTGGTGTGGGCGGTGAGATCTTTTTCCTTCCAATGTATTCTACGTAAGTTCCCGGAAAGTCCCCCCTCTCCCCAGTGGTCTCGTTATAGCCATTTAACCAGCCGATTTCTTCAGGCCTGGCTTCTTGTCCATCACTGAATCCAAGAGCTACTAAGGACCCTTTATTCACAGTCAGTACGTCCCCCAAGTGCAAGTCAATGTCTTCTTCCCGCTCCTTTTTATAGTCGTACAGCGCCCTGTACTGGTACCCCTCGGCACTCATGGCTGCAGACCTGCGACCATGCGACAGCTGAGGCTGGCTGCACACTGCAGTCTAACCTGACGTTTCTATGGAAAGTGAATTCAGAGAGTGTGTTAGGATTCCTAATACACGTCCAGCAGGGGATAAAGGATAACTCTCCAAAGGTTTAAGAGGAGAGGTGATTGGCCATCCGGCCGTCCATCTGTCCTCCATCAAGGGTGTGACTGAAGTCAGGGCTCACTTCCTCTGTGGTCGCAGTCTTCCCACCGGCTTCCTTTTCAGCAACTCGTCAACACATTGACTCGGGGCTGACTCTCCCTTCGAGGCCCGATCCTTTCTGACACTCTTGTCACACTGTCCATCTGTCATCTGATTTGACTATGGCACACACCACATGCGAGCTGCACCTAGCAAAGGGAAAACAAGACTTATGAATCAACGGCACACTTGGCCATCTGTGTGAATCTGAATTTCGACTTCCATTCAACAAGTACTTAATCAACCTGGCAGACATACACAGGCCAGTATGCTTTTGCTTGACATGGTATACACAACAAAGATTAGTGAGGCAGGCAGTCCCAGCCTTCTAAGAACACTCGGCAGGGTGGGAGGGATGCTGCAATGTGGCAACATCTCAGAGATAAGACAGGACACAAGGATCTATAACACTAGGTAAATGTCATAAGAGAGCAGAGACTGAACGCTAGGGAGTTCAAACAAGGGAGAGACCACATCTCGCTGCAGGCATCTGAAGACAGAAGAGAACGTGTGGCATGATCTTAGGTACAGATGTGATGAAGCACTTGTCATATTCTGGGAAGAGCTAGAACAGGCAGACCGGTATGTGTGAAGCCAAAGAGGGAACATCACGTCCGGGTTAGAAAGATAAGCAGGGGTTGTATAACAAACATCACACACGCCCGTGTTGAGTTTATGAGTGATGCAATCTACAATGGGGAGCTGGAAAGAGGCTTGGAGAGAGGGGAACAACAAGACCAGAGCGGCACTTGAAGAACCTCAGTCTAATCCTGGTGCGTGGAAGGGACTGGCGTAGGGACAGAAGAGGAAAGCCATGAAAGGTGTTTTGCAGCCATCTGGGCAAGTGGCCATGAAGGCATGAGCCAAAGTGGCAGCAGAAGGTACGGAAAGGAGGACTGAAGTAAGGGAGAAAGAAGCATGTGTGGGATGTGGCAATGCTGAAAAATGGATCAAGAGAGAGAGAAGCACACGGTACTGGGTACTGGATCCTGGTTGGGGAGACGGACAGACTGCAGCATATGAGAAACAGAGGATGGCAGAGAAGCCAAGAGGCAGGGGCTCTTGCCAGGCTGGAGGGCCGAGCCAAGGTTCAAGGTACTAGCTGACTGCTGGACCTTAAAGATGATCCGCTCTGCCAGCTATTTTAGAATTCATTTCTGCATGACATGAGATAATCAGAGAGATACACTGACCTGTGTGTCTGTTTAGCAACATATTAGTATTTTTAAGCCAAAGAAATAAAGACACAAAACTTAGTACATAATAGCAGAGCATAGGTCATTCTGTTGGTACCTTCCTAGCAAAAAAGTAAAATAGAAAGTATAAATTGTACAGAAAATACAAGTACAAAATAAAAAGGAAAAACAAAATAAAAAGGAAAAACTTCTCTCTCTCGCACGTTCTCTTTTATCCCAACGTTGATTACTGTTTTAATTTTACGTTGATTCCTTTCTTAAAAAGCAATGAAAATGATATATATTTTTTACAAAAGAAGAAGAAAAAGAAAGGGAGAAGCAAAAGGTGCCTGATCCTGAGCTCACAAGAATGTAGCTACCAGTAGCAGGCAAAGGGAAGCCAGGAGGCCTGATGGGCTAACGGTGATGCTGGGCATCCAAATGGAAGCGTGGATCGTTGAAGACCTGGTCTGTGATTCAGGAGAGGAAACACACCTGAGGTTTGGTAATCAGCCGCATATAAGGCAAGGCCAAGCTCAATGGAATGAAGGGACTCAGAGGGAAAATATTAAAAGTAAAAAAAAAAAAAAAAAAAGATCCAAGGACCCAACATCAAGGTTCAATGAATGCCATTGAGGAGGGAAAGTCAAGGTCTGAAGACAATGCGACGTCCTGGAAACAAGGGATAAGAGGGTTCAGGTAGGAAAAGGTGATCTCTAAGACTAAATCCTGCAGGGGCCTCTGGAAGTGGGAAACAGGCAGGGCTAGGTCATCTGGGGCTTTTGTCCACAGTGGAATCATCACGGACTTGAGAAAGCCCACTCTAGTCTAGTAGTATTGAGGAGAGTAACCAGAGTTTAAGGAGTTAAGGAATAAAAAGAAAGTAGAGGTGGCTGCAGATCACACTATGAAGATAAGCTCAGTGGAGGGGGGAAACGGAAATGCAAGTTTTTTCTTTTTTTTTTTTTAAACTAGTAGAGGCAGAGGGCTTAGAGAGTCAGAGGCTCTTTAAGTTAGAGAGGCAGTAAGGCAGCTTGGATAGCTGCTAGAACAGTAGAGAACAATGTGCACACGGACACACTATGTGCTCCGTTCATTTCTCCACGTTATCTTTGTTAGAAAGAGGAAAAGCAAACTCAAGGTTTCAGTTAAGCTGGCTGAACAATAAAGCAATAAAGACAATAGCCTCACAATTTCGGTGCGCTATGTCAAAGAGAGCTTTTATAAGTTTTCAAGAATGGAGCCCTTTAGAAGTTTATTATTATAGGCACTCTGCGGCGTAGGCATCTTAAGAAGCAAATCTAATCACAGATTAATTGTTATGCTGGCATTCAGAAGTGTAAAGTATTCAACTTTACATGGCTAAAGCCTCTTAGCTGTAATACAATAACGCTCTTAGGAGAGTTACATATTAAAAGAAGGAAAAACAAACACTGGAGATCTTTGTGTAGCAAGAATATTAATTTGCAGTAGTATTCTACTTTGTATTTCAGTTGGCAGAGAAAAAAAATTAAAGCAGCCAGCAGAGCATATGAGAAAAATAAACTATGTTATGTTTGAAGACAGCCTCTCCTTTTGCTAGATCCAGAATCAAATTAAATATTCGCTGCATAAATTCACAAGAAAATGTAGAACTAGCAAATCCCATTTTTAGTACTAATGTACTCTGTTACAAATGAGACACAGAACATGAAAATTTACATATCCCTAAATGCCTGGAAACCAGGCAATATGCCTGAGAATAATTTAATTCCTCCAAATCTGCCTTGAAATTTTTGTTAGCTTTTCCTGGCAATGTATGTTTTTTTGAAAAAAAAAAAAAAATCCTCAACTAGTAGGCTGGGTAGATCTTTCCGCCAGCTGCTGCCTATGTCTTCCTCTATTTCAACAGCCCAGGAGGCCAGTTTGGTGAGATTCTTAACAGAATGGGGAGTATAATAATTCCCCTACTCTGTCCACCTCAATTCCTCCTCTCCCAGCTACACGGCTCTCAGCAATCGCCAAGCCCTGCTCACGGCGCACCTATGTAGCTATGCATGTCCCTCACCAGGGGACACTGCAGTAAGAAAAGATCCAGTTCTGCGCAAGGTATTACAAACCTAAAAACTGTGTTTACATTGGCCTGAGGCTAAATCCCTGCAAGGAGATAAAGAACCCTGAGGAACCCAAAGACTTCAGCAAGACCAGACTTTAGAGTAACAATTCCCGCCATAGATGCCAGAGATCTACCTGTCTCTACAAAGTCCCCCTCCCTCACCGTCTGTAAGAACCACCTCACTTTCTGTGCAGAAGAATCCTATGCAGAACTCTGGGCCCTCAGCTGACCAAGAGAAGCCCAGATCTTCTATGACTCTTGGCCCATAGGCAGCACACACAACTCATCTTCCGCGACTCCACCGTCAAGGCCAGGAAGACCAATCCAAACAGTCCAAGGTCAGCCATGATGCAGTGCCAATTAAGAGGGAGCGCTGGGCTTCCCTGGTGGCGCAGTGGTTGAGAGTCCGCCTGCCGATGCAGGGGACACGGCTCCGTGCCCCGGTCCGGGAAGATGCTGGACACATGCCGCGGAGCGGCTGGGCCCGTGAGCCATGGCCGCTGAGCCTGCGCGTCCGGAGCCTGTGCTCCGCAACGGGAGAGGCCACAGCAGTGAGAGGCCCGCGTACCGAAAAAAAAAAAAAAAAAAAGAAAGGGAGCGCTGACTAGCCATGGGGTGGTGAGTGGAGCGCATCCCATGGGGAGGTGCAGAGAGGCCTTGGCTAGAGGGGGGCGGCCCTCCCCTGCTGCACAGTGTACACTTTCTCCTGACGGCCATGCCCATTTTAATGGCTGCCACTGTCGTCGTCACTAAACACTGGAAGCTATAGGTGTATTAACCCATTCAATCATCACCATCGAATATTCAGTGGGAGCTATAAGTGTATTAACATGTTCAATACTCAAGGTAACCATGAGATGGGTACTATCAACATTCTCATTTTACATAGGAGGAAAACGAGGTGCGGAGAGTTTAGTGTCTTGGCTGTGATATCTTGGCCATGATAGCACTCACCAAGGGCGAGGTGTAACTAGAGTTCAAATCCAGGCAGTCTGGCTCCAGAGCCACCACTTTTAACACCTTAAAACCTACTGCCCAGGGCTTCCCTGGTGGCGCAGTGGTTGGGAGTCTGCCTGCCGATGCAGGGGACGCGGGTTCGTACCCCGGTCCGGGAGGATCCCACATGCCGCGGAGCAGCTGGGCCCGTGAGCCATGGCTGCTGAGCCTGCGCCTCCGGAGCCTGTGCTCCGCAATGGGAGAGGCCACAGCAGTGAGAGGCCCGCGTACCGCAAAAAAAGAAAAAAAACCTACTGCCCAAACTCAGCTTGCTCGGATGCCCCAGGACGGCCCAGATATATACATGGGGTCAATGGCGCAGATTCCTTGCTTGCACACTCTGACCTCTCAGATTTATCTTGAAGGTCTGCTTGTTGCTCTCTGTGACGGTGGCCTTACCGATAGTGTTTGTGACTCTTTCACAAAAACACCTGCACAAAAAGAAGCCATTATAACTCAGCAGGAGTGCCCTCAGTCTGAGACTCAGCAACTTGGACCACACAGATTTTCTTCCAAAGAGACTTCATTAAGATGCATCCTTGCCAAAGAAGTCCATGAACTAGTGAATCAAAGAATACTGGGCACATCACTTCTGGAAGGCTGCCCTCTTCTGGAATCCTGCCCATTTCTGCTCTACAAGCTTCAGCTTCTGTCACCTACATGCTTCTTGGCATCTATGCCCCCTGCTGCTACCCCAGGCCCCTCACTGCACAATTTCTAACAGCCCAGCTCCTCCTTGGGGGGGGGGGGGTATGTGAAGCATCGTCCACAGTCACCAGGGCTATCACATTTAGAGGACTGGCAAGTTCTCTTTTCTCTCACCCTCAAATTTCTCTCTCACCCACAGAGCAGCAGACTGGGGCACTGGTAGTGCCTAGATCAC